TGCCTATTTCTCGTTGTTCGCTTTGTGTTGCCGCAGTATTCGCCACAATATGGTGGTTTCTGCTAGTAAAAATTTTACTTTCCAGCAGAGATTAGTGATAATTTGTGATACTTATCTGTTGAGAAACAGGGCTTATGTTAGCATTTTTAGGTTTTAGTTGCGACCTTTCAATTACTTCTCCTTTTTTCGAGCTCACACTCAACTGTATGCGTACGGAAAGCATTCGTATGACGGATGTGGCATATTACGCATTTAAAATTAGTTATTATTCTATAATTCTGAAAGATATTTTAATTCTCTATGATTTCATGTCTCAACTATAGCAAAAAGTTGAGTAATAACGAAGATATTGGTCAAAATAAAAAACTGGCGCTCACGCTCGCATTGAACTGTATATCAGGCTTAAAGCCGCTTTACTACACGGTGCATTCTTGGCTTTACTATACATTCTTTCCGATTCTGCTAATGACTTTAGGCCAACATAGTTGCCATAAATCCGTTTGAATAAAAGTATTGCCGCTTTATAAAATAAAAATTCACAATATTTGTGTCTTTTATTAATTTTGGAAAGTTTTCGGTAGTGATAATGCTCGATAGTTTTTCAAAAAATAAAAAAGACAAACATCGATAGTATGAATAGTGTCATTTATAGCTTGTCACTTCCACTTGAATCTACGATATCTGTCTTTTGGTGTGGCAAATTAAACGTCAATTGGATCTAGATAATTTCATCAGATTTTGCTCCATCCTTGATTTTCGATATTGATACCAAGTTAAAATGAAAATTAAACTAACAGCTAACATTAATAATCCACCGATAAGTAAGTGTTATGTATATTTAGCATATTGTGTCTTTGGTAATTTTACTCTTGAAGCCAAATCTGATTAGATTTCTATCTATATATGGCATTGCATTAGCTTTTCACATCTTGCAGAAATCGGACTAAAATTAGAATTTTGTAATTAAAGGTGGCTTGGCAACTGCTCATCTTATCAACGAAACCGTACCAATTGAAATAGTGTGGAGCAACGAGACTTCTTTGAAGTTCCCGGACAATCGACACCTTTTATGTCACTCAAACAATGATGTGCTGCGGGCACTGGCACGTGCTGCACCGGAATATCAACTATATGGAAAAACTGCCATCGAGAGAACACAAATTGACCACTGGTTATCATTTTCACTGACATGTGAAGACGACATCTCCTGGGCGTTTTCATTTCTCGACAAGTCAATTGCACCTGTAACTTATTTGGTAGCTAACAAATTAACTATAGCAGATTTTGCCCTATTTAACGAGATGCATGCACGTTATGAGTTCCTTTCAAAGAAAGGTATTCCACAGCATGTACAGCGATGGTATGATCTCATAAATGCGCAGCCATTTATCCAGAAAGTCTTGCAGACTTTGCCCGAAGAGGCTCGTACAGCAGCAAAACATGCTAAACGCAGCAATGGTGTTAAACTAAGCGATTGCGAAAATTCAGTTCTGCCTGGGTCAACGAAAACGAATGAGCGCAAACAAGAGGGTAAATTCATTGAATTACCTGGTGCAGAGATGGGAAAAGTTGTTGTGCGTTTTCCACCGGAAGCGTCTGGCTATCTGCATATTGGACACGCTAAAGCAGCATTATTAAACCAATACTATGCTTTGAACTTCAACGGAAAACTAATAATGCGATTCGACGATACAAATCCTGCTAAGGAAACGGTTGAGTTTGAAGAAGTCATTTTAGGAGATGTCGAACTATTGCAAATCAAACCGAATCTCTTTACTCATACGTCCAACTACTTTGATTTAATGTTGCAATATTGCGAGCAGATGATTACAGAGGGAAAAGCATATGTAGACGATACACCTGCGGAACAAATGAAACTTGAGCGGGAACAGCGAATTGAATCAATCAATCGTTCAAATGGTACGTTGCTTAATAATGTTATTATTGTGAGTTGTCTAGTAATGCCTTTAACAAACCATTTTTTGGCCATTTTTTTCGCAGATGTTGAAAAAAATCTATTACTGTGGCAGGAAATGAAAAATGGCACTGAAATTGGACAAAAATGCTGCGTTCGTGCAAAAATTGACATGTCTTCACCAAATGGTTGTATGCGGGATCCAACAATATATAGATGTAAGAACGAACCGCATCCACGCACGGGAACAAAATACAAGTAAATGCCAAATAAGATGGTTGAAAATTATATTCAAATATTTTTTTATATACAGAGTGTATCCGACTTACGATTTCGCATGTCCAATTGTCGATTCCATTGAAGGCGTTACGCACACATTGCGTACCATGGAATACCACGATCGTGATGACCAATTTTATTGGTTTATTGACGCGCTTAAACTTCGCAAACCGTACATCTGGGAATACAGCCGCCTTAATATGACAAATACTGTGTTGTCTAAGCGTAAGCTGACTTGGTTTGTCGAATCAGGATTAGTCGATGGATGGTAATAATGGTATACATTGTTTTTGATATTAACTAAACAAAATATTTATAGGGATGACCCACGTTTTCCGACAGTGCGAGGCATCATTCGCCGGGGAATGACTGTTGAAGGTTTACGAGAATTCATAATAGCTCAAGGATCTAGTAAATCAGTAGTCTTTATGAATTGGGATAAAATATGGGCATTCAATAAAAAAGTAATTGACCCAATTGCACCTCGGTACACGGCTCTCAATTATGAAAACCGTGTAGTCATAAATGTTGAGGGCGCAAAAAAAGAAACTGTTGAAGTGCCTGTGCATCCGAAAAACGAAAGTCTTGGAAAAAAAACTGTCACATTTGGTCCCCGCGTATACATTGATTATGAGGACGCTGTTACCTTGAAAGAAGGTGAAAATGCTACATTTATAAATTGGGGAAATTTGTTAATCAAAAAGGTGTACAGAGATAGCAATGAAAAAGTAACAAAGGTTGATGCCACTTTAAATTTGGACAATAAAGATTTCAAAAAAACATTAAAACTTACTTGGTTGGCTGAGGAAGACGACGAGTCTGCATATCCACCTACATACTGCGTTTACTTTGATAACATTATTAGTAAGGCGGTTTTGGGCAAAGATGAAGATTTCAAACAGCACATTGGTCACAAAACCAGAGTAAGTCCCAAATCCCACTTAAGATTTGTCTAAAATCTTTACAATAATTTAACAAATAACAGGAGGAATTGAAAATGCTGGGTGATCCTGAACTCAAAAAATGTAAAAAAGGTGATATCATTCAGCTTCAACGGCGTGGTTTCTTCAAAGTTGACGTCGCTTATGCTCCAGCCAGTCCTTTTTCAAATGCTATTACACCAGTAATTTTGTTCTCAATACCAGACGGTCACACCAAAGATATGCCTTCATCAGGATTGAAAATAAACGCTAACTCAAAAGACGTCCGCAAAAATGTGAGTATGACAATTAGGTCAAATCGCGAAATAGACAAATATTATCCGAAGGGTCCGTTATCAATTACTTTCTGCTTTATAGCAGAATTGGATTGCTGGAACTAAGAATACATACGGCCTTTTCGGGAATTTCATGTGAACAAAAGTGCTCAGAATTACAAATTTTCCCAGTTTGTTTTTGTTTTGCTTGTAAATTCTTGTGAACAACAATTTATTCACATGGAATTAGTGAAATGCCAATAGTTTGGGTTTCTTTAGTTTTTGCTTTTAGATTTCTTATAGACATTTTTTATCGAAACACGCTGAAAAAACAAAAATAACGTGCTGGCCGCTGTGGTGTAGCGGTTAGCAGTGCGCGCTACAACGACAGTCGGGTCTACGTAACCGGAACGACCCAGATAGATATATATCTGGCCAAGGACTGCCACCACTCCAGCAACACTCCCCAAAATCTCTTTGGGGAATTTGTATGCTGTTACAACAACAACAACAACCATTCAAGCCCGGTTCAACCCAAAATCCAAGAAATAAAATAACAAAAAAGCTTTTTCCTAATAGCGGTAGCCCATCGGCAGGCAATTGCAGACCTCCCGAGTGTACTTCTGTCATGAAAAACAGCTTGGCATAAAAATACAATAAAATAATTGTAATAATGTTGTATCTCGTAAACTTTAAACGGCTAAATAAATGTTTAGAGGATTTGGAACCGCAACCAACTATTTTTAGCAGTGTGAAAATTTACAATATGACTTTTATAGCACGTACCTTGCGAATCTTCTAAATATATTTTAGCCGTATAAAGTTTACTATAAACAACAATACGCCACCGACGGCTCCAATAGCTACTTGGATTTGCAGTTATGGATAAGCTCCTAATGTCTCGCTAGGACAAAAAAAAGTAAATACCCAGAGCTTATGCCCTTTATTTGCTCAGTTCCGCGCAATGGCAGAGAAGTTTTTGGACTAGATTAGGACGAACTACGTCTGCAGTAGTCTTTCCATGATCCATGGTTAATATCCCTTGATTTCACAATGGCCAGGGACCCAGATAATTTTTATGCGGAATGTATAACCATATATTTAAGAGTTCGGCGGCATTGAACAACTCTTGAAGTCAGTGATATTTTCCGGATTTTCAATGGCGCATGGTGCCAATTTTATCTACAATAATTTGAATGAAATAAGTTCGTTAAATTTAAAAATATATATCGCTCCTTTGCACTAATAACGCCAGATCTAAAAAACCAAAACAACGAGAAAAACGACTTTAAAGTATTGAATTTACGTATGGACCTTCCAGAGAAGACGACACAACAGTTATTAAAAAATGAGTTACATAGATTTTTAAATAATAATTCTTTAGAAATAGATTTTGATCGATTGATTTTTCTCTATTTTCTATTGTTTTTTATAAACATTGCCATAGTGCAACATTCTCTGATATAATATATATTTCATCAAGTTGTTAAGGCATTCCCTATTAAAGGTAATAATGCAAAAAATAATTTTCCCAAAAGAAAGTACAATTCGTGGACCTTAACACGGTGGTTGTTGTTGTAGCGGCTACTAAGCCCCGTTCGGGGCGGTTCATCCATCAACGTTGTCGTCAATTTCAGCTAGGGGGAGGCCCAGGAAGTGTGCTACTTCCACAGGTGCTGTCCATAGGGACAGGGGCGTTAGCTGAGTGGGGTTCTCAGGGCATGTCAAGAGGTGCGGGGAGTCATGTGGCGACTCTCCACATGCCGGGCATTGCTTGGGCACATCCTCGTTGTTTCTGCTCAAGTAGGAGTTGAGCCTGCTGCAATAGCAAGAGCGAAGTTGGGCTATTGTAGTGCGGGTCTCCCGAGGCAGACAAAGTTCTGTCCCGTCCACGTCCGGTGGTTGTGTGCCTAGAACGGCATTCACAAGGCGGGAGTCTACATAACTTGAGACTGATTCCCTGTGAATGCCGTTCAGGGCCTGTCGGTAGGTTGACGGGTCCAGAGGTTGTTTGATAATCCTCTGCACTTCGTCCGTCAGTTCGTAAAGATGCCTCCTGACGTGCCGTGGCACTTCTTCATAGAATTATAATTGCTTAGAAAATAAATGAGTACACAAAAAGCTTAATTAAAACTTTAGTAGTATATCAAATATTTAGAAAATGTCAATCAATTAGAGAAACTTCCAATGAAATAAATTTGTATTCATTATATCGTCACCTAAAATTCAAAATCACGTATCAAAGATCATCGTTTAAATCCAAAAAGTCATAACCATGGTGGAATAATAACAAGGTGTTGTCAGTAGCGACGTGTTTGTTGTAATTTTGACAAGATCGGCATGCTTATTTTCAGTGCTGCCGATCTTAATTTTTATAATGCTATTAGTTGGGAAATTGTATTTAAAATACTCCATTTTAGTAAAACATTTTGTCGCGATTTTTAAAGAACTTGGTGTTTTCAGAACGATATTAATATTTAAAATTGCTGGATTTGTATAATTTTTGTCCTCAAAATATAAAATATAAAAGATATCGTAGTTATCAATGGAAAACGACGTACACAAAAATCGTATGGAAAGGCGATTTTTTTATATTAAATATCTTTTGCTGCATTGTCATAATATCGAGCCAAATGGACTACTGATACACTAGAATAGAGCGGCAGCATGGTTAAATTACGACTTCGCTTATATTATCGATATTTATGTGTTTTAATCTATATGTCAGCCGCTGTGGCGTAGTGGTAAGCAGTGCGCGCTTCACTCCGCAGTACCTGGGTTCAAGCCCTGGTCAAAGCAACATCGCAAAAAATATGGAAAAAAGGTTTTTTCTTAACAGCGGTCGTCCCTCGGCAGGCAATGGCAAACCTCCGAGTGTATTACTGCCATGAAAAGCAGCTTCTCATAAAAATGCAATCGCCGTTCGGAGTCGGCGTAAAACTGTAGGTCCCTCCGCTTTGTGTGACAACATCAAGGCGCACACCACAAGTCGGGGGAGAAGCTCGGCCAAACACTAACATATGTGTAAGCGCCAATCTATTATTATTATTATTATTATTACTATTAATCTATTTAAAAATCATTTACAGTTTTATAGGAAATTGCCTTATTTTACGGCCTGTACTTTTTTTATAAGTTACAATATACATATGTCCAACCTGTGTGGAGCTGACGATACAAACATATATTCAGGCTTATAAGCCTGTAATTAAACATTTTTCTACATTTAACTTGAAATAGTATGCACGAACGGATTAAAAGTAGTACTTTTTCTACTACTTTAAAATGCGTGACCGGGTTTCTACTACTTTAAAAGACCCGCCGAAAAAGTGAGGTTAAGTTACTGACAAACCTTGTTATTAGGAGCGTTCCTTATCTCCCAGAAATAGTCAGAAAAAGTCCGAAGTAGTCAGATTTAGTCCAAAAAGCGTTCCTTAACTCGGAAATGACAGCAAAAATGAGAGAGCAACACTCGGCGAGAGTGACTCTCATCAGTCCGAAGTAGTCAGATTTAGTCAGAAGAATTTTTTCTGGCAAAATCCTGAAAAGTGTCAAACTCAACTGAATTTAAATTAACGGAAATTAAAGAATACGCAAAAAGTGAGAATAATCTAAAAAGTAAAAAAGTGAATTGAAATTGGAAGGAGGCAAAAAATAATTGATATAGTAAGTGTTTATTGATCTTGTGCTTGTGTGAAGGTGTTTTGTACATACATTTACATTCTTGTTTGACGATACCCACCATGCAAAACATGAGAAATAGGCAACAATCGTCAATGGCAACAAATTGGCGACTCACCGATTTATTGCTGTGGTGACAAATCGGCAACACCACTTCGTTCATGTCAATTTTGAATAAAAAAGTTCTCAAAAATTCGGAAACTTATGAATATGGCGTCAATAGCATTGGCCAAAAGCATCTAAATTATGCCCAAGGACAAGATTGAAAAAATAGGAAGTCTCACAGCGAGAAAATGAATTAATTCCGATTGTAAGTTGCAATTTGGTATACAAAAAAATAAATGAAGTATTAAGAAGAATAAAATTATTCCAAATATCGCCTGAAGCGATAAGAAAAGGACTCATTCAGGTAATAGGAAAACGACTCACCCAGGCGAGTTGCCTTCGGCGGACGTTTTAGAGCGACCGGTAATAGGAAATCGATTCAATGGCAATATTACCGGCAATAAATTTGTTTCCGAGGGCGACACGTTTTCTTATTGCCGGCAACACAAATTGTTTGGTGGGTAGCTTTGTTGTTGCCATTGTTTGGACTAAAAATTTGGGTTTTTGCATTCCTTTACTTTTCCTGTTATTCTCTTTTAGTGAGCGCATTTTGCTTACGCTCTGACATTTTGTCACTTTTCAGATTTTAGTCTAAAAAGATAAGGAATGAACCTATTATTACACCATGAGTCATAATTAATGCAAAATTCAAAATTCACTTTTTGACTTATATTACCTTGTTTATACCGACACATGAAGCGCTTTGACCCAGTTCGCTGTGATTCAAAACGGAAGCATAAACCACAATATACAGTAATCCAGATAGACAAAACAAAAAATGTAAATATGCTTATTTGACAATTTGTTTGAATGAATTGGTTGATATTTTTTCACAGTTGTCCTTTTCGTTAACCCAAATGAGATCCAATTTCAATATATCTTCGTATAGTGAAAAATATTTTCAAGTCACATAAAATAAAATAACGAGAAAAACAAAATTTCAAGCAAATCAGGCGTGAAGCGTAAGCGATTATGACCGGATGCAGCTAATACATAAGTCATACCATGTTGCAGAAAATGTAGGAACCTACAGAAACCTGGCAGAAATACACTCTTACAGGTCTGTTCTGCACGTTACCGAAGATTTTGTGACCGGAAAATTTTATTACCAAAAAATGTTACCACTTCTTGTTACTGCGATTCTAGGTACGTTGGTAATGCAGTGAAAATATTCAGCAACTCAGCTATGAAGATTTGCGGAAATTCCTGTATTGCATATTTCACGGGGCAATATT